GGGGGGGGAAACATCTATAGTATGCACCTTTAGATCTGGGTCCAGTAGTATTTGAGATAGAATAGCTGTTCATTTTGTCTGGTTTAGAGCACTCACTGCATGGAGTTTATCTCATCAGCACAACACAAGAAAGCATATTTTGTCACAGAAAAATGTAATTGACTCAATCGTCAAAACGGTCTACACAAGTAGTGCTGTCTTATAAAGCAGCCCACTCATCCATTTTGCCTGCCCATTAAAACAAAAGCCGAATACTATTCGTCCCATGGCTGATATGCTGAGGGTTTCAATATGATCTCTTAATTGTTTCCTGACTTTGCCTCCTGATTGATTTTTAAGCTCATATTCATGATATTTTTTCTGCTGGTTCACTGCAGATCCTGCCCGTAGTGGAGGCCCAGTTTCCATTTACCCAGGTGCCCCAGGCTTTTCAGAAGTTGGAGAATGGCCACGCCAGAGGGAAGACGGTAGTCAGGGTGGCTGAACAGGATGACAAACGGGCCGAGGAGTTGGTGCAGAACGGTCGCTCAGAGTCTGAGCAAGAAGTACGAGAAGCGGCCAACCAAAACTAGAGACAGTAAGCAGAGTGCCAAATGAATTGAGCTGTGATTCGTCTCACCTTTTTAAAAGGCTACTCTTGACAGCAGCAGACTATTAACCAAAGAGAGCAGAGGTGCTGCTGTTATGCAGCAGACTACAAGCGTGACCTGAGCGTGCCAACTATTGCTATTGTTATTCCTTCCAGTACTGTCCTGAAGTTTTCACAAGGTGTTTTGAGTTATGCAGCATTCCTGTAATGGTGAAGTTAGCATGATTACCAGCCGTGGACTTATGAATGCCATGTAGGACAGCACCCAGCTGGTACAGCTTTTGGTAGCTTTCTGATTGCTGCAATCTATCCACTAAGGAGTCGCATAATAAACTTGGAGGGCACTCGGAGAGGGTAGACCATCCGTCAAGAACAATCCTCTCCTAATCGGTTTTTCCTCGGCCCATGCTACATATACTCTTCCAACAAGTTTCATAAAGTCATAAATCGGGGGCCAGTTGTTTTTCTGTAATCCTGCTGACAGACAGACGTACAGAACCAAACCGAAAACGTGGTGGAGGTAAAAAAAATGAACCGTTCAATCTGAAGCATTAAGTCTGTACCTTGTTGTAAACCAAGTGCTGCTCAATGTGCTGTACCATGTATTGAACACATTTATTGACAAAAATACGTTTATTATTCTGAAAACGAAAGAGTTGTGTGCTATGTAATTTTGATTAAACAAAGAAAAAGTCATGAGAAATTGTATTTTTTTTGTTCCCTCGTATTGCATGCAGCTTGAAAAGGCTATATACTGTATACTATATATACACATGATGTTGCATGAAAATATGGAAACGCTTCAACACTGTTTGACATATTTATCAGACAAACATAATTAATCAATGAAAAGACAAAGAAACAAGCCTTAGGATATGTTACTGGTTAAGTGTAAAATATAAAGTATTTAAAGTTCAGACTCTGGGTAGTAATACATTCTTACGGATTTATTCATAGCTCTCCATGTTGGCCTTCTCACTGGACATTTTTGTAGGTTGTAGGTTGAGCATTTCCAATGATGTACCTCGCCCTTGAGCAGTTGTCTTGCAGCTGCATAACGGAGCCTCTGGTTGAGGTGTACCTCTGATGATAAAACTATTAAGGATCCAGTCCAGCAGCTCGTGTTTTCATATAATCTCCACATCCCACTGCTGTTGGAGTTTATTTGGATCAAGTGTTTTTAGAATCACTTGGTTTTTGTCGTAGTGAGTTCCCCCTGAAACGGAGACATTTGTTCTCATTAATCTTTTTTTTTTTAAATTACAATTCCGAGTAAAAGTGTTATCTTTAAAGGGGTGTTTTGTTTACTGAAGCTGGGATGAGTTTATGATCCATAATTTTATATGGTAATGTTAACAATATTTAGTTTTTTCATATATGTCATGTAAAATATTATCACAAGTAATATCCACAATACTATGCATCTTAGTGCAGAGGAGGATAATTTGTACACTGACATTGTTTAGTCCACAAGGTGTCAGTAATTGACAGTGATGGAAACAAAGCCATTAGACATAAACACCCAGTTTTCAATTTTAAGTGGAACTCCCAATAAACAGAATACAGGCTTGGTGTGAACATGAGTTATAAATGAATATACAGAAGTTGCATCTTAAGTAACACTAGTAGTCTAATGAGGAATGCATCGTGCATGTAAAACAAACTGGGGAAAAAGGATATGTGAAAATAATGTTAGAATTTCTTTAACCGAAACATAAAGTGTCAGGAAGTTTGTTGTCATGTAACTAGGAAATACTTCACTATCATCATGTCTTGTAATATTAAAGACAAATTGTGTTCTTTAAAAGGTACATGTCACATATGGATGACTCACCTTTGATGTCCAGGACCAGATCAGAGGTGGGGGTGTAGCAGATAAATCCATTAGGGTTGAAGCTCCAGAGCTGGTCTTGGTTGTCTGGCTCTGGGGAGAGACCTACGCGGCTTCCTGACATCGACATGCTACCAGTGGTACTCAGGCAGCACTCCTCCAGCAGCTGGAGACACAGAGAGAGGAGTTCAATGACAATTTATTTACTGTCTATTATACTGTCTATTGTTTAATCGTGGCACCTCACATAGGGAGAGACTTTTTACCAGTTGTTGTAATACCCAGGTCTGTCTTGAGTCCTGTCCTTTACTTTGGACCTGATCTTAATTCTAATTATTCAGATTCGATTTTGGAATTTATTTTGACATGATTAAAATTGTCTGGACTGCAGCACTGCTTGTATCTGTTGATCACCTCTGCTTTATTCAAAGCTCGCTCATGACTTATTCATAGCACTGTTCACAGGTCAGCTTTTGCAGTAGTATAATGATGGTACCGCCGGTACCTTGCAGTGGAGATGTCCATTCTGGTAGAACCAGATCTGTTCGAATCCATCAGTCTCCTCTGCTTCTTGGACCCGCAGCAGTTTGATCTCATCCAAATCGCCGGTCACTGACATCATGAGCCCCGTCTGTTTGTTCCTTAAGCGGAAGTGCACTCGCTTCTACTCAGAAAACACACAAGACCAATCACATAGACAACAGGGTTCATAATTCCTTAAAAAGATATACAAAATATGTCAAAGTAAGCTATATTCAGCTCCATACAAACAAATCTGACAATATCCAACTTCAAGGTGAGGCATTTTGAAAGTAATAAATATCTTTCTCCACCAAACTCAATAATTACAATGTCAGCTGCTGCAAAGGTCTCAACTGTAACGATGACACAAGTAACTACAATAAGTAGGCTGCTGAGGCTTACAGCGTGTACTGTGCAGCTCTAATTAATGACATTTGAATTGTTTTGGTTGGTGTGCAGATTTTCTAATGCATAGGACTGAAAGCCTTGGGCCTATTGTGGAGAGTGAGGATATATACCTGTATAAGAGGGCGAAGGGATCCAATTTTTTGCCAGCTGCTGAACTTGCGCCAGTCAGGCACTTCACCAGGTTTCAGCAAAATCTGAGGACCCCGATAGTTGATTCCCTCATACAAAACCCACCTAGTGACGAAGAAAGACAGAAACACAGTCAAGCTATGCATGTTCAACAGCTACTATGAAACCTTGACTTACAGCTGTATTTGTGAGTCCTCGTCTCTTCTAGGCAGCACTGTGCCAAAGGTAATCTTCTCAAATGTGCCGAGCTTCACAGCCGTCCAATTTTTCTGTGACACTAAATGTTGCTTTTAACTGGGATCTCAATGGCCCTGTTGTTTGGCTGAGTGCCCGTCTCTCTCTCTGCGCAGTAGGAATGTGCCACTACAGAGACAGTTCTGGCTCACTGTGAGCCCTTTATTTCCTCAGCATTGGTTCACACCGAGAGGCTGAATCTCGCACATCAGCAGCAGATTTCCATCATCACTCCATCTGTCAGTGCTGCCGCACATAAGATGTGCTGATGTTGCACTCTATGAAACATCATGTCTGAGGCCAAAACTGCTACTATAACTCCAGGAGGCCATTTTCACTACCTGGATATGAAACCTGGATAACAGTAAATACTCTTCTTGCAAATGCAAAGGTAACCACTGACAATTATAAAGACCAAGGCATTTATTTAAATGGAAAACCCCAGACGTTGCTTCTTTTATTATCTCCGAATCCTTCATCTCTAAAATTCAAGTGCCTTGCTTTGTCTGTTGATATTTGACCTAACTCTTTGAGTTATTGTTGCAGTAGCGGCACACTAAATGGCTATGGTTCGCCACACGCAACGGACTAAGCTTAAAAAGATATTTGACACGTCGACTTGGTAGTTGATAACTTTTTAATTCCGAAGACATTAAAAAGAGATTAAAAAACAACAAAGGTCGTGGAATAGGATAATCAACAGGGGTCCCTGAAGGATGGATGAGTGAGAAATTAAGGATATTATTCTGTTTTACATCTTCCTAACAGAGAAAATGGCTTTCACAGCACAGTTCATTCCCCAGTAAAAAAACAACAAAAAGAACACACACACGCACACCATGCATTCATTTGCCAAATTCGCACCAAGAGGAGAACTTGGTGACGGCCGAGTAGCTGCTTTATATTCCTAGAGAACGGGTTACCACACAGCATTTGTAATGTACTCACATGCCTCCTTCCACTAGCACAGATTGGACTCTGCTGCAGCCTCCAGCCAGCTGAAGGTTGACTGATCCATCTGTCAGTACCACCCTCTTACCCCACAGACCACACCGCTCGAACAGAGTGATGGATGGCAGTGAAAACTCCTGCCGAACGAGAGGGATAGAAAGTACATTAAGGATTGGAGTGGGCAGAGAGCTGCAGGTAATGCAGGTTGACATTAAAGGGATTCTTGAGGTTTCCCCTGGAGACGGGCCACTCTCACACTTTTCTGCTCCCTGGAAATGTTGCTCTTTGTTAACAACATATATGTTGTCCTCTAGAGACACTCATGTTGATCAGCAGAAGTGACTAATGTAACATTTACTTTTTATCCTCATATGGAGGCTACATGGTCGGTGAAGTTGTGGGTTGTTTTATTAATATACACATGTAATATATCTATTGATAAGTTTGACTTATACACTTATACAACATAAAAGGGAATGGGTGTTGTAATAATTACAGAGTAGAAAATAAACTTACAAAGCCAACAGTCTGCAGCGACAGGATGGAGGATCTCGCATTGACACAGCCCATTGCCCTCAGGTCTGGGTAGCTCCCCACTTCCAACACATACATCCTGCCTGTGAAGTCTGGGCCCTCAAATGCCAGCCAGCTGAAAGCAATTTGCATAAACAGATACACAACCACGCACATAATTCCCGATTAATGAGGAAACACAATCAACATTTAAAACTATTTGTAGGATATAGGTGTTACATTTTTAATATGTACATTCATTGAGTCACAATATGAATCTTATGCTCGGTTATTCATGCTCATAAGGACAAACAGACTACACACAAGCACAGGACTGCACGGCCATTCGTAAGTAAGTGGAGCAGTTACAGCCTGTAGCAGATCTCGAGTCCCAGAGATACTTTTGTAATATGAGCAATACAATTGAACATGTCAGAAAAATAATAATATGCAGCTTTAATTGTATCAGATCACCTTTGGGAAATCACAAACGGCCTATTCCTGCTTTTGCAGGATGGTGCAAAGACTTTGAAGTACATACGATTCAATTTACATCATAACTCAAAATAGCCGCAGAGTGATATTTTGTATTTATATTGTGCAGTATCACTCACCTTCCAGCCAGAACCTTGCATGAGGCCACATAGACGCCGTCCTGCAGGGAGGCCACACTGTCCTCCAGAGGGACAACAGAGCCTTGAAAACCTGGTTCAGAGAAGATCTGCACCTGGAGCACACACAGCAAGAGAATAAGAATAAGAGAATGAGTCATCCACTCTGAGCCTCTCACACACATCAGATAAGACCAACGCTATCCCAGCAAGATTAGATGTGTTATTTCCTCCTTTTCAGTCGCTTACCTTAAACTTGGCTGCATTCTCGAAATCATCCTGAAATGAAACAAAAGCCGAATGAGGGTCATTTACATCCATTGAATCACACACAAAAGTGGCCAATGTGCAGAGGTGGGAAAGACAATAACAACAAATTACCATGACATCTTTGCTTTATATTTTAAGTTAAATTATACACTGTATTATTGGCCTTTTCAGAAAAGATTTCATTTTAGTGCATCTAGTCACTTAACTTAAGAGTGTAGATGCAACACTGCGATAGACTTTGCATGAAATATAAGTCTGTTTGTCATCATCTGGTTTGAAATTGAATAGTAGCTTCATGATGACTCACCATAGTGATTTAATATGTTTTCACTTTTAAGTCTTATGACAAGTATTTTCCCCTACCCACTTCTGGCTTTGCACATGACTCATGCTTGCAAAAATAATGTGCTTCATAAAGGGTTGTCTGTCATCTAAAAGACTCCTGCTCTCTCCCTTGTAATTGTTTGGATTTAGTCACAAGCACGAGTTTTGTGACTGGTCACATGCAATGAAAGCACTTAGCCACAGTGGGACGACCAGGGGAAGTGAGAATATAGCAAGCATTTCAATATTGCAAAAATTATGAATTATAGAATGCTAAAACTACAATATCTGAAAGTAATTGTGAACACACCAGCTGCTGCAGTGAACATAGAATATCACAGTAAAATCTGTCTAATAACTGGAGCAAAACATCAAGATTTCATAACTTTGTCTGAGTCATTGCTCTTACCAAGACAACAGGCATTACTGAGGCAACTCTGGGCTGTGGCGCCCCCCAGTCCTCTGGGCTTCCATACAGGCCTTTCTCCAGAAGGTAGCACTCACCACAAAAGCCCGGCTCCTCAAACACAACCCAGCTGAGAGAGAAAACAGAAGGACGGGGAGCATAATTACCCTTTGCTTTTGCAATGACATTTCAGAATTGTGATTTGTCCTTTCTCACATATGCTTAATTAGTAGAGAAGCACTGCTGACAATGAAAACCACAAGAATTCAAGTGTTTTTTTCATTAATCATGTCAAGTCAACAATTCTTGGTCGAAGTCCAAGTTGATAATGGCCTCCCACATGATAGTATCTCCGCAGCTATGTGCTCTTTTAGCAAATTGGGCATGTCTGGGGGTAGCTGTGCGAGTGTGTGATGTTGTGGGAACAGGGGCTGTGTCTGTCTGCATTTGTGGGCTTGTGTGTGCCACCACACTACAAACAAGTCCCTCTCAGCAATGCTAAAATAACACGCTGAGCCAATCAGAGGCTCAGAAGGACGGCAGCACAACATGGGCGAGGCTGTGCAATCTAATAACAGTCTAGCAGCACAGCAAGAACAACCCTTCAACGTTACAAGAGTCATGCCTCCTAAAGAAGGACAAAATGTTACACTCCACATTGTTTACCATTTTGTTGGCCTCTCCCTTGGGTAGCAACGATCCGCATGTTCTGCATTTCATTACTCTGATTTGAGAAATGATTCATTCTGATTTGCTTCTGGTTTTGTTTACTTCTGCATTTCTTTTAGCTGATCATAGCATAAGGAAACAGAAATAGAAACAACTAGGGAACACAGCCACTAATTGGACCTTCTACTTTTTAAACAGTATGTACTATAATAATACAGAAAAAAAAAAGAATATTCCCACTGAGAAAGGGTGTAAAGCAGCATGCTCCAAAACTGATTTACTTTGACAGGAAGTAAGGTGTGGCAGACTAAACATTAGTGAGCAAGGTAATCTGTCTCGACCTGTCAACCTGGGCGCGGCGGCCTCACCGCTACGTAAAGAATGGTCATAAACCGCACAAGAACTCAATGGGACTAAAGCCTGAAGTAATTATCAAGTTGAAACATAGGAATGCTTCTGCACTGGACTGTACCGTATCATCTGTAGAAAAATACCTTAAGCCTTGCAGTGTAAAGACAGCTCAGGACTTCCAATAATCAGAGACAGATTTGATGCAATTTGCTTTAGCAGGATAAACAATAGTCCTGCAAATTCTCCAACATTATATTTCCCATTACTGCTCACACAGCAGTGAGAGTTACAGGGAGAAGTATAATGCTTGTCACTTACATGCCACCGATGACATCAACTGACTGCGTCTTCATGCCATAGCCTGTGCCGTCCATGTCAATGACAGGCACTGTGAGGTCAATGTTGACTCCCAGCTCGCCGAAATCTTTGTCGCTGAACATTTTGAGGTGTGGCGACATAAAATCCTGTAGAATAAAAGCATTTGATGAGCATCACACCAAGAAGATACATAATGAATAAGCATAGTCAAAGTCAATATACTCTATGGTGGTGGTTCTTAACCTTTCTTTTGTAATGTCTGCCCTTGGAAGTAGAAATTAGTAACAAAATAAGTCAAGTTAAACATTCAGAATAATATTACTAAGAGCATGCACTGCACGTTTCCTTTTGCTAATGACACATTCAAGATAAATAGTGCTCAAACTAATTGACCTCTCAGATACAAAGAGTCAAATCTGCCACAATGAAAGTGTGTCATATTTGCTTGATGAGCATTACTTATAATAATCATAATATGTTCATTTTACACATGTTGTTGTGCAGTCTGAATAAATCTAAATAACCTGGATCTTGACAGCCTTGCCAGTGTGAAAGAGCTTCTTTGTTTTTCCCACATGAATCACATTCATCTAACTCAATTCATTATTGGGTCAACCAAAAGTCAGCAGTGCCAGCTGCTGATAATGTGAAGTTTATACCGTTACCACAGCTTCATAAAAAAACAAACTTAATTGCATTTTATTTACATTTGTTCACACTGTTGAATCAATTCTCCAATAAAAACTTGCATTTAATTCAAATGGTATTTAATAGAGGTCTCCCTGCTTGCTTACCTTGTCAATAGTGTGAGTTCATATGGAAAGTTTTGGTCTGAATACATTTACATGACTTTTACATTCTGACAAGAAGGAACCTTTTTGGAGGGAAAACAGGATGCTTTCCATTTTTGAACTAAATCTTCACAAACCAAGGTTGGTCGAACCATTATTTAAACATTAGACCAGACTTTTCGTCACATAGAGATGTATTGTCCGTTCATTTTGGTCACACAAAGGTGTATAGTGAGCTAGCCCAGTATGGTACTCACAGCCAGGATTGGTCGCAGTGACCGGAGCTGGTCTGAGCCTCCCCAGTCGCTGCAGTCCAGGTACTCTCCTTCCTCCAGGATGTACTGCTGGCCCTCAAACCCGGGCTCGCTGTAGCCCAGCCAGCTGGGAGGAAAGAAGCGCACCCACGTTACTGGTTAGAGCTGTATCACATAACCTCATAATCACCTTCTGGCAGCAAAGTTAGTCCTGAATAAACTTTGCCACACGTCAAGATTACCACTTTAACTTGATCCTGTGTAAGCACAGAGAATGAACTATGCAGAAAACGACTCACAGTCCTCCAATGATCTTTAAAGAACCCACAGACTTCAGTTTTCTCAAGTCTAAGTGTGCTTCATCAGTAGCAGTGTCTCCTTCACTTTCACAAAAGCTGAAAACGTCACTGTCGATTTCCAAACAGGAGCCCTCAAGTCCAGGCTTCTCATACACCACGGCCTGAAATAGAGAAAGAACAAGGTTTATATCAAACTGGCTCTTTTTTTTTCTATTTTTGTTCAAATGCACTTAATTGAGTTATTTTGTATGACATATGATCCAGGATAGCTGTTCGCATAATAAACCTAAAAGGTCTTCTTGTAAAAATACATTGAGTAATGTTTGTTTTCTTGGCTTTGTCTTGCTATGGTTCAGCATGACCATAAATGAGGTGAAAAACACATCCTTGGATACTTTGTGTGTTGAACATTTGTGAGCATAATATTGTGAAATTTTGCACTTCAGCTTCTGGAAGTGTTGAATGATAGTACTTAATGTTGAGTCTTAAAATGTCTGTTTATCAATTCATTGACATCACATCTCTTTTTCTCTTAAATTAAGATGAAAACAACACTCAGAAAAATGAAGAATTCAATGCACACTGCCAACAGGCCTTTTATGAAAGATGTTTTCTATTAATGCAATAGCAACACAGTTAATCATTTGGTTACTTTACAATTTGCAGAATTAAAATTACATTAAATTAACATTAACAGTCTGCCTCTGTGTCCACAGACTTTTTGGGAAGACTAACTGGCATTATAATCTTTTAGTGACCTTTATTAATTTATCTGTCTTGCTTTTATGTGAACTAGAGGTTTTTGTTTTCTGGGTATTCCGTGTGTCATGTTTTTCCTTGTTCCGGGTTATTCATTTATGTTTAGTCTGCTTCCTGTTTTATTTTGTGTCATATTTTTGTTTTACTTCCTGCTTTTGTCTCTTTTTTTTTTGGTCCTGTTTCAGCCACACCTGTGCTCATTAGTAAATTAGATCTTAGTGCATTTAGTCTGTTTGTTCTCCCTGTTTCAGTGTCAATTTGTCATCTCTCCTTGTGTGATGTAGTCCAGCCTGATTATTATAGTTATTTTCCCAGTGTTTTAGCGCACCTGGTTGTTCTTTGGATTTACCTTTGTTGCCTGCCTGTTTTTGGACTGCGTCCCGTAAGTTTATTTTTCATCATTAAATCATGAACAACACCAGCTGCCTCCCATTGTGACAATTAAGCATGCATAGAACATGCAAGTGAAGTAAATTCCAGAAAGTATGTCAGTCCTACCTTGACTTCATTGGGGTTCTCCACTTTGAAACCACCCTAAAACAGAAACATCATCATCAACAATCTTTTTCTTCTGTAATTAAATGTATCCTGTGAAAAACAAATATTCAAAAGGTTCTATTTTCTTTAAAACTATGTCATTTATGTAAAACAGTGACAGGGAGCAAAATAAAGTAATAGAATACAATTGTATCACATTAATTGAACATGTGTCTTGGCAAGCACAGTCAGCAGTCTCATGAAGTAGCAGCTTCATGAGACTTTTCAGCAAGCTATCATGCTCACAATACCTGCTAAACATCAATACTGTTTAAGGTGTTCACAATGTTGAGATATTTCAGTCGGAACCAAATTGGTGGGCCGACCAGCAATGCCGTGTCATTTTAAACAAATTAACATATCCCGTCCCCTTTCCTGTGCAGTGTACATGAGATGTTGCACAGAAAAACAAACCATTTTAAGTGGTCTCAGAGATCCAACAAAGGGTGATGGGAAGCCCCAGGTGTCAGGAAAAGGGTACTCTCCTGTCTCCAGAACAGCTATCATGCCTTGGAACCCCGGGTCACTGAACACCAGCCACCTGAAGTAAAGAGGGACACCCACATTGCATGTTTGAGTATTAAGTCAAAAGGTCCCTCCACATTATGCCTTTTGGTTGTTTTAAAAGCATGGAGTGATGACCTTGCATGGCTTGTTGCTTTTATGAAAGACATAATTGTTATGAAGAGAACAAACTCACAGTTTTTCAGCACCTACAGGTATGACTGGCAATTTTGCTTGGTATATTATGTATTATTAGGGCAGGGCATTGTTTTCATTAGGTATTATATACTTATGTCAAACATGAGTCATCCAACTACAGCAGAAAACAAAAGCTATTTCTTTAAGAATAAAATATCTTGGGAGTGGCACGCTTCAGTTCAAAGCATTCTTCCTTTTGGTGGGCAGCCTTTGTCGGCAAATGCCCCAACCTCTGGCATTTTAATTCATTATGTAGTGAAACGCAATGCTCTACCAATCACCACATGACTGTCAACTGAAAAATTCAGTCAGGGCTGAGGAAGGGATTCCAAGAACTGAAGCCAACCTTATGGCGCTGAAAGAACCATAATAACAGGAGTTGATTGAGCATAGGTACATGCTACAGTAAATGTGTTAAACAAAAGACTACCTCTGCTTAACAGTTGCTCCACTTGTCACAGACCAAACAGGTTTTGGGGGGGTGTCCGAAGATGAGATGAGGAGTAATGTTGAAACAATCTCAAAAATGTCAGGTTTCTACCAATCGACAAAAATAGATGTGTGAAAAAAAACATCTAACTGTCATTAACTTCCTCATGGGCAGGGCACAACATGTCCCCGATGCCGACTCCTCTCAGGTGGAAAAACATTCTCCCTTTTGCCAAATTCTACCCACACCTTTGTCTGTTGCTATCTAATTCATCTCCTCCTCTTCACTTTACAGGTGAACACACCCACTCTCTCTATTTCCTAACATGCATCAGCAGGACAGACATTCCTGAAAAGTCAAACGAGTGAGAGTCAAACCAAAGACAAATGTAAACCCTGAGGAATGTAGTCATGATTATTATCTCTCAGCTTTGTTTCAAAGCCAGACACCGCCAGCATCCCATTAGAAAGATAGCTTTACATTTCTGCTGGATCTGACTGCCAGTCATTAGTAATATAAACAACACCGCAGAGCGCTGGGGTTTTCTCATTAGCTGCACTTCATGCTTTGCTGCTATAAAGCAATCACGCTCGTTCTTTGTTCTTTAGTGCCTAAATGTATCGCATTTCAAGTGAAATCTAATCTACAGATGACTCCCTGTCTACCAGTCTGATCAATCACAATGAATAGAAGGGTCTTGCTAAATATTAGATTATGTCGGCTTGTTACTGTCTCACACACTTTACCAGAGGTCAATTGCAAAGATCTGAATGATTGGTTTGCTTTGACAGCCACACTTACAGCCCCGAGTGAACTTGGATGGACGCAGTGCTCAGTGGGATGCCAAACGAGCCTGTCTCTATGGTGTCATCGTGATAAGGTGTTATTCTGCCACGGCCCTCTGGTTCAGTAAACAGATCAATGCGGGGGAGGCTGTAATCCTACAGAGAGGGAGAAACAAACACAGTAATTAACAGCAGTGGCCCATAGTTCTTAAATCATTCCTTTGCGATACAACCAAGGAGTCTGTACTGAATATCAAAGCAATATCACATATTAGCTTTGTTTCAGAGGGCCATGACAGTGGGTGACAGTGTTGTAGATATTGAAACGCTGAAGGCCAAATGGGGTGGAAGTACAGTATATCCAATGCACTCACCCAGACAGCAAGTCGAATTGAGCCAATGAGCATTGGTGGGTTGTTCTGTGGTTCTGTCTCTGGCCCTGGCTCTGCCCACATATTTGCCAATTCGGTGCCTCCCTCCTCCAAGGCGATGGAGCGTCCCTGGAAGTCAGGCTTCTCGTAGATCACCCAGCTGTAGTGACAACAAAAATCAGATAATCATATGTTGGAAAGACCAGACTAAATGTATGTGGTAAAACATTAACATTTTAAAATACGCATATTTGCTTTTTTGCCATAAGTTGTATGAGAAGATGAACACCGCTCTTCTATCTGTTCCATAAATATAAGGCTACAGCCACAGTCACCGGCAGTCACAGCTGGCCTTGCTCTGTTCAAAGGTACAAAAAACAGCTTCTAACCAGCGTCTCTAAAGCTCACTAATTACCACGTTATATCCTGTTTGTGTGATGAGAGTGTAAAAAATGTCAATTCTTGGCCGGGCACAGTAATTTCCTGAGGTGTCTGGTGGTTGCCTGGCAACCACAACACATAATTCCCCAAAACTGAACCATGTCAATTTTACACTTTGATTTTTATACTGATTCAACTAACACAATATGTTTGGTTAATTAGTTACCTTTAGAGGTGCTGATAGGTGGATTACCTTTCGACAAAGCCAGGCTAGCTAGCATGTCGGTCATTATCTAATGACCACATAATTATAAGGACTGCAATTATATAGTTATGCAAGAAATTATGTAACTATCCCTTTTGCTTTCATTTGGAGAGCAACATAGAGACGCAACATGAGCATGCGATCCAAATTCCTGCCAATGGTTGCACATTATTCCACTGATCTGAAGGTGGTGGTAACACGTCAAGAAACACAGCAATGCTCCAGCAAAGACAGAGAACAAGAAGATGTGTGTAAACAATGCAGATTTCAAAATTAAAAACATAATGTTCTACACAAAGCAAATGCATTCAACACATTGCCAGACCGAAAGGATATGCATAATGTTTTTTTGGTGATTAACACTGAATGTAAAAAGAAACTTTGGTTGTTTACAAGTAAACACCAAGGGACACTTCAAGTAAAAAGAGAGTGGATATATAATTGTATGTTAGAACTCCCAATGTTGAGATTCCATTAAAAGTAAATGACACATTCAGGGGCCTTAACAGGCCACACTGGCATCCCAAAACCACTCAACACTTATTAGTCATATATTTCAGTGCACATTTTCTTTTCATCATCTAAAAGTTCTGGTTGAATGTAGCTACTTACCATCCTCTAACAACCTTCACAGATATGAGAGGCGAGAGCTGCAGAGAAGTAGCATCTGCTACATCCCTGTAAATCTCATGCGCCTCGCCGCTGAACTGAGGTTTTTCAAACAACACCATCTGTGGAGACATGAAAGATAGTGTAAAAAATTAAATAAAAAATGGCATTACATGCTTGCTCCATCTCATCAAATCATGATTCACACAGCGCTGACAAAGACCTAATAGCATGGCACTTCCCTTCAATCCTCTCTTATGCTATATTAAAATCATATCTATGTTATCCGAACCAAAAAGCCCGAACAGGCACACAGTTACTTAAACCCACCACGGCGTACTGTTAATGTAATGCTACCCTTTAAGTTTAAATACAGGCCGGCTGCTCTGGAGATAGAAGTAGTCGATAACACAGTGTTTTAAAAAGCCCTCATCAAATCTTCTCTAAAATCTGAGATCTTTCCATGCAGTGGTTTTTGTTTTGTTTAGTCATGACAGAGGATCCCTAGCACAGCTAAAGCTAGAAGTACTGAGTTAAAGCTGTGCTGCCAATACAGTTCTACACTATTTGCACTGCGTTGGCAGCACTGAACTCTAAGACTATAATCACATCCAGCTGAGCATTTGCACTAGACTGTTTTTTTTAAATTCTTTGTTTACCCCCAAGAACACCATATGAAAAGCAGATGTTTTCACAGATCAGAGAGCTGTCTGTTCAGATTCCTCTCTCCATCTTGTTTCTATTGTATGTGGGCAAAGCAGTGCTTACTGTACCTTTCCAGGGCGCTTGTGAAATCCTTTGGCAGTTATTATCTGGAATGCAAAAAACACATACATTTCAAGACCACAGACTATTGCAAACATCAAAAAAATGCAAGCAAAGCCGACCTTTCAGTTTACTTCCAGGGACACAGTGGGTCCATGGAGACAGCACTGTTTTGAATTTGTATTCATGTACCACACTGGGAAGTATACCCAGTAGGAAAAGGTGTTGCTTCATACAGCATGCAAAATAAGCAAATTGTGAGTTTGGAAGCAAAAGAAAAATCGAAAAAAACAGCAGTACCTAGAAAGCTGAAACCAAAAATGTGACATTTTCCCACAGGCAAACAAGCAATTCAACATATATGGAGAACACAAATTTAACATCATAAATGATGATGCTATGATCAAATAGTGAGTTTATTTGAGGCCATCCTTTCTTCAGAACACGTCCTAAGAAGTTATTTGGCAATGATTAGGAAATTATGTAAAATGTATAATAAAGCATAATCACAAGTTGCAGCCTTAAATCATTTTTAGGGACTAGCAAGACAAAAGATCCACTGTTTTGTGAATTGAGAAGCTTCTGTACTAATGATGATACCAGAATGCAAATAGAGTAAAACAAAGAAAAAAGAAAAAAAAATAGCACAGTGGAATTTTCCATTAAAAACCGTAGTGCAGCTCTAAGGGAAATGAAGGATATAAAGAGTTTCTAACTCACCCAGCAGTGCAGCAAGCAGTCTAAAGATATGCAGCTTGACTTTGTAATTTTGTAATACTAAACTATTAGGAACCTTTTAATAGTATGAAAGTGCTGTACACTTACATTATTACTTTGTATTGCCTGTGGCAGAGCCAGAGGCTGCTTAAGCTCAAGCAGTGTAGGATGTGTGATTGGAGGAATCTCAGGAAAACATGGAGGCACAGCATCAGGAAGCACTGGAGCTGGTTTCACAGCCAGATCTGCTTCCCCCCCGGAGGCTGGAGCCGTCATTTTTCCAATAACCTGATGCACAATGCACAAACCAAAAACGATCAGGTATGCATGAAGGTTATTCTTGTGCTTCTCTACTTCTCTACTAGAAAAAAAGTACAGCAAAGATGTTTTTTTGTTATTTAGAGACATGCTAAAACAGAGCACTAGCTTATATGAGTATGCTATTATCACTTTTTCAACTTGTGTTTGCAAGATGTACTATGTTGCCTGTGAAATCTCTGTTTTATGAGGACAACTTCGTATACTTTTTAGTTGGTGAAAATATGAGAAAAACTGACCTCAGTTCTGACTTGCTCCTGTCCTTGTATGCTGTGCTCTGGTTTTGCTGGTTCTCGGGGGAGGTACTTCTCCAAATAGTCCGGCAGCTTGATGTCGTTAAAGGAGGGAAGTGGAAGGCATGACTCACTGACCACAGCCTTTGCAGCCTGGGCTTCCTCCCTGTGGCTCAGGGCCAGTGTGTCTTTGAGTGGATTCGTGGCAGTTTGGCTTAGCGGGGGTGACTGGGATACAGATGGAGGGCTTAGCTGGGGGGCTTCACTAGGTGACACATCCCCAGAGTGGGTGCCCTCTGCCTGCATTTGAACTCCATTCCTCTTCTCTCTGAAGATGGAGGAGGAGAGGCTGCTGAAGACACAGCTCCCTTCCAAGCGAGACTTCACCTTGATCTGGTCATTTCTCTCTTCCTTGACATCTTCCTCATCTTTGACAGCGGTGTGAGAGTGAGGGTCCAGTATACTGAGCAGCATGCTCCTGTCTGCCAAACTAGACCTGGCAGGCTTCACGCCGGATTTTGCCTCCTTGTTCTGGTACTTAGAAGCAAAGAGGCTCTGGCTTGTGTCTACACTGAACTGATCCTTCTTCCTCAAGCCAAACGTAAACTCCTCTGGGTCAAACGTCTTCTCAAAGCGGGCCTCTCTGATGGCAGGCATGGCAAATGGCGGCTGAGGTGTCCGGAGTTGGTTGTGTTTACGTGGCGGGAGGGAGAACGGTGCACAAAGCTTCTTGATTTTCTCAATGAAATCATCATCATCTAGCTCAGTGTCCAGAAGATTGCTCTCACTTCCAAAAGAGCTCAGTTTGGGCACCGAGACTTTGAGAAGATGTTTGGGAAAGTCCACATCCAGCCAGCTTGAAGGAGCGTCTTGCCGTGTTTCAGAATCGTCTTTGCTTCGTCCATGTGGAAAATGGAGCTTCGTCATTGTTGAACGCTGGGTTGTGTCTGGGATCGGCTTATTAGCATGTGGGGAAGTGGGTGCTTTTGGAGTTTGACTTGGTTTGTTCTTGACCAGTTCCTTTTTGATTGTGTGGAGTTGTGAATTTGGGGAAATATTACCATTAGCAACAGGTGAAAGTTCATCCATTACTGAATGGAATGTTTTCTCAGCTGTCTTCTCCACCACATCAACTGTGGACCTGGAAGCAGTGTCATCAGCTATTTTCTTTGCACCCTTGGGTGAAGTGATATCACTTGTACTCACTGTATTCTTTGATTCCTCACACTGTCGGGATCTAGGAGCTAGTTTTGTTATATCTCCTGAGACTTCTGAGGGCACTGATTTGACAGTTGAACTTTTTGCCCCATCATCCTGCTTTGCTACATCGCTGCTCAAAGATTTCGAGACAGAAAAATGCAAAGACTTTTTATCAGATGATTCCTTCTCCGACATATTATCAGTCTGTGCAGCTTTCAGCCCTGGAGTACCATCAGCGGCTTTTATTGTCACTTTCTCAGCTGCTGTAGTTGCTTTGGTAATTGACTTTGAGCTGGATAACTGAGCATCATTAGCTCTGTTTGCACATGAGTCATCCGGTGAATTCTCTGTTTTTTCCACGGATACAGAATGAGGCTGTGGTTTTGCTGCTACCACCACTGGCTCTGTCTCTGCTCCAGGGCGTTTTGTAGACTTTCTTTGCAACTCAGAAGGCACAGTTGCTGCATTTTTTCCTTTTGACGACCCTTTCGCTGTCTTGGTCACACTCGCAGCCTCATTAGTTTGGGTGACGGCACAAACGGCAGCTTTTTCTGGATGTGTAGTCTTTGTGTGTCTGACACCTTGTTTTTGAGCAGGCAGATCTACTGATGTACTTTTACTTTCTGAGGACCGAGAGGCTGGTTCTGGTTGATTTGTTTCTGGTTTTGTTATGACTTTAGCTGGCTGTGTCTCATCTTTTCTTTCAGAATTTTTTCTTTCATCATCCCTCGCAGTACTCCCCTCTGTCTCTGAGATACCTTGTCTACTTTCTGAAACCTTGGTCTTTGTGGTGTTTTTATCTGAACGCAGGAGCTGCTGTGCTTTGTCTTTGTTTTTCTGCTCAGTCTGATTTGTTTTTTCGCTCTCAGCCGGATTTATTAGTTCTATGTCCTTATTTGGGCGTTTCGGTGTTTGCACTGTGTCTTTCTTATTTGGCTCGGTAGGTTCAGATTGCACTGACAATTCTTTAACTATTTTCCGCTGTTCAGCAGGTGGCTCTTGCGCCATCGAACCAGTCTTCTCAATAGGTTGTTCAACTGGCGGTGAGGGGGAGGGGGCTGAAGTTTCTCTGCTGTCCTTGGAGGCCTTTTCTCTCCTCTGTGTGAATACGAGGCCATGTCCCCCTGCCTTTTTCTCCTTTTGGGGTAAAATAATGGGATCCTTGTCAACAGGCGTCTTAGTTCCACTGCTACAAGCAGCAGTATCAGGTTCATCTTTGTTGACAGATGGTTCAGGCATTCCCTCCCGTCTGTTCACCGGTTTGTCAATAATCTCCTTTTTAAAAGAAGAATCCAACTGTTTCTTCTCTTTTCCTAACACCTCTGGCTCCTTCTTAAATGCTTTCTGTCTGGTATCTGTCTGGTTTCCTTGAGCTTTATCAGATGGTAATGAGACTTTATCTGTGAGTAGTTTGGAGGCAGAAGCAGCCTCATCGTTCTGCAGCAGATTCATAGCAGTGAGCTCTGGCTTACTTATGGAGCGATCCAGTTTGTTTTCACTATTTGGGCTGATGGGACTGGTTGGTTCCCTACCTTTTCTCCTTTTAGAGCGGGAGCCTATTCTGCTAGGGACTTTGGACTGTGAGCTAATGCTATCGGTCAGTTCTGCAGAACCACCCGGCTCTTTAGCTGGAACATTTGTTCCAACACTGTTGGGTTTCGTACCCTGATCTGCTGTTTTCCAGGCCACTGTGTTGTTGGAGTCTGTTGGTTGTTCTTTAGGAATGGACATCTTTACCCCTACAGTGGTGGTATCTTGTCCATCTGGTTTTAATGTTATCTCTGACTTTGCTTGCTGTATTTGCATGTCAGTATCCAGTTTATCCTGATTGTCTAGTTCTGATGACTTCGATGCATCAACTACAACAGATGAAGTGGCTTTTAGAGACATTCCTGTCATGTCTGGCTTTTGAAACAGTGCTGGCTTGTTCTTTGTTTCAGATGCCTCTGTGAAGTTCCTGGCTCGCTCCTTGATCGTCATCGACTTCTCCTCAACGGGTGTTGCAGAGCTGGGCCTGGCTGTGCCGTAACGTTCAGCTGATCTTGACCTGTTTTCTGGCAACGCTAAATCTGTTTTCACCCTCTCCGTGGCTTTCCTGACTGGAGAGACATCAGCACTCCTCGGACTTTGGAAGGTCGGCTTGTTGACACCTACTGCCGGGCGCTCAAAGAGGCTGATTTTATCCGCAATGCGGCCAATGACTGGCTTAGGCTCCTCATCAATTTTCTTCAGCTTGTGTATTCTGTGTATGATAAGAGGTTAAGGTTAGATTCAAGCATACATTTTTGTATTTTGCAAAATGTTAAACATTTAAAGTTGATTTTGACAAATGTTACCTAATTGTGCATTAAGTTGTCTGCCACAGACTAATGTGACGTATTAATTTAAATTTTATTTTTCCATCTGGTCTGCACTTTACAGAAACTATCTTGAAGTACAGGGTTCTACTTTGTGTTATGACTCAAAACATTGTTCAACTCACAGCATATTCTTTTGACAGCAATGTTATGTTAGACAAACAGGTAGATTAAAATGTCTGTAATGAGGTACACTCCTTGTAACATTTACTCCTAACAAATGGGACATTTCGAGTGAATATTATTGGAAAACTTTTCAATCTACATTACAGCTTATGGAAATTTGAAGATTCATTGTTTCATTCATTCAGAACTCACAAACCGCCCTGTCTATATTGAACCAGTCACAGACTTACCTGTCATCGATCTCTGTTTCGGGCTTATCCTTTGCTCCATCTGTGTAATTCTTTAACGCTGCTTGAAGTTCCTGGGTGTCTCCAGCTGGATTTTGCTTTGGATTCAAAGGCACATTTTTTGTAAAAAGCTTCACCTCACTTCGAGAAACCTTCAGACTCCTGCGTTTGGACTCTGGTGTCTCTGTCTTCCGTTCTACTTTGTATAAACTGTCGTCCTCCATGTTTGCGCCCCCATCAACCACACATGCCAGAGTGGCTGCGAAGACTGAGTTTGTTTCCTGGAAGTTGTCCAACTCCTTGGTTGTATCGGGACAGGAAGTCTTATTCTCTGCTCCTTCAGGTGAAGCCTGAGAGGTGGAGCTGTGCTTGGAGGAGGACTTTACAGATGACTCTCCCATGTGAGTCTTTGGACTTTTGCCCTGAGCACTGGTCACTGAGTTATCTGATGTAGAGATTCCCTCTGGGACAGGTTGGGCACTGGGAGGCATTTTCTCCTGGGGGTTGTTCCCTTCATCTCCCAGAGAGTTTTTCCTGACTTTCCTTCTGGCTGCGTTTTTACGCCCCATGCTGTCAGCCTCTGTTTGTCCTTCAGGATCAGGCTCTGACTGCGACTCTTTGTGTGATTTCAGTGACACCCTCACTAGGGCACTGTAATAACTCTGTGCCCCAACAGCAGGACTCACATGTGTCCTTTTGTTCTCTGCACTTGTTAAACTTGAGCTCAAATCAAAATGTGGTGATGACTTTGCTTTGCTGAGGACATTTAGGTTCTTTTTTGTGACTTGCACAATATCCTGTCCAGCACAGGTGTTCTGGTCGCAGTGAGTCACGCTGGTCTCCTCCAGGTACACATGCAGCCTCCTGCCTGCCTGTGCTTGTCTCTGGGCTTGAGGCTGAGCGTGGGCTCGGTCAGATTCCCATACCACACCCTGCTCAGAAGAGGAAGAGAGATGTGTCAGCTGACTGGCATTTGTCTCAGGATTCCCACTCGCTAAAGTGCCGTTGCTGCTCTCCTCCCTCTCCTTGCCCTGCCTGACTCTCTTCTTCCTGCACTCCACAAACTCCTCCTTCTTTGGACCTCCTCCTGCTGTTTCAGTGCTGCTCACAACAGGGCCGCCTCTGTGGGCAGACTGCGTGGCGTCCCCCTCTTCACAGGGGAAAATGTCTCTGGAGAGATAGAATGCATTGGGATTGAAGCTCTGGTCCTTCTCCTCCTCCCACTCTTTTGTCCTTGCCCGGAGTCTCACAGATTCTTCACTTTCCTGTTCTCCCTCTGACTTAAGAGCCTGATCGCTCGTCGGGGAGGCATTTTCAGTAGGACTCTTTGGACCCGTTCCCTTCCATGGAGAGAGCCAGCTCCCGATACGACCCAAGACCCCAGTGCTCTGTTGCTCCTCAGGGCTCTGAGACTAAATCGAAGCAGAGAATAACTCACATTAATGTCTCCATGTGCAGCGGCAGTTAACAAGCATGCATATTTTCAGTGAACATAGGCAAACTTTAGGTGAGCTGACAGCAGTTACACGTGGTAGTGCAAATATAACATCTTGCCAATGAACAAAGGAAATGGGGTGCAGGCTTAAATAAGTATAAAAGTTTGTTCATAGACATTTTGCATGCATCTCTCAGCATAGCAAATACATGCAGGAGTTCTTATAACCTGTAAGCTTACCGTAGAAAATACCATATCATTCAGATTCTTTATGTAGGATGTGAACATGATTTAGGTTTAGAACAAAAACTCCTAAAGAGCATAAAACAAAAACAAAATCATTCCCCCAGGATAAACAATAGCAGTGTGAAGCAGAAAATTATCAGAAAAAAATACATTCTGCCTTAGCAAAGTGGTAGATCCATCCTTAACTCTCTGAGAATGTCCTTTTGGCATTAGTTTCAAGTTCAACTCACCCTTAATTAGACAGAAAAAAAACTTCCCGGCCCTACCAAAAATATAAACCGTTGTCAGTTTGTACTAAATAGCTCCGCAATAGATGTTTATCTAACTGATTAATGTTGTGTTTAGTCCTCCTTGCATCCACAACTGGGCAGACTGTTACATCGCAGATGCAGTACGGGCGCTGTGGAAGTTCTGCCCCTCCACCGGCGCAAACGCAGCCCGGTGATGAAAAACGGTGCGTTCACGTGCTCCTCGTAAACGTCTGACACGAGTTTAACTATGAACCTGACCGCGATTACAGTTTGTTGAAATGTGTAAATCTGAATAGACTGGTTTTATGGTATAACTGGCTGCAATATCGTCCTAACAACTCCCAACCAGTCACATTAAAATCACTGAGATACGCAGTGGTGGAATATAACTTTTACTGGGCAAGTACAGTTACTCAATAGCCTATACTTGAGGACAAATTCCAGGTACTTCTTCTTTACTTGAGTATTTATAGTCATGCAGCTACTTCTACTCTAGCCTACATCTCAGAGGATAATATTGCACTTTTTACTCTACTACTACAGCTTTATCTATTATTATTATTATTACTTTAATTATTTTTGGTGTGGGGTCACAGGTCAAGTGTAATTTTGATATACCTGTTCTGTTCAACTGTCATTTTTGTCACAACATCAGGGGGATATTGTTTGGCTTGTCTATCCTTTCAATATCAAGTCGTTTTTTTTCTAATAATAAATGCTTTAAGTTCGGAACCGGCACACATTATAAAGCCTTCTCCTAACTTCTGAAAAACATATCTATTGTTTGAAAGACAAGAAGAGGTACTTCGTTAATTTAATATAATAGATTAGTATAAATGAGATGAATAATTCTAATTATTACCACAGAATGCGTCTCAAGTATCTAAGTATCACTTGGCTGTCAAATATGTGAGAGACTTTCTAGACCTCGGGCTAAGTGAGACCAAATTTCATCTTGTAGCAAAGACCAAGTTGGCTAATAAAGTAGAAACATATGGAACTTGAGTTTAAGTAAAGAAAAGCAGCATTAGAACTCTCCAAAGTGGACCCATTGTGTCTACATAAACATAAACATGCTTGAACATTACAGTTTGTAAATAGATGCAATAACTCTGGTTTATAAGACTAAAGTGACACTGCTGTCCTATTGCTTTGCTGAAGCAGTCCAAGGCAATGTTGGGCGTGGAGCTCAAAATTCCTACATGTATCGTAGCAATTGAAGGCGGCGAGAGGCAGTGTTTAAAAAAAACTTTTCCAGGGGAAATGACGCACTGACTGTGTGGCTTTCAGGGCCTGTTGAATTCGGTTTTTGGCTCTCCAAACTTGTGTGCTCTTGTTTCATTTGGCGGGCAGCTCAACTCAGTGTTTCCATGCTGCTTAGGCGAGGAATTTAACCCTTTTTGTACTTTTTATGCAGGTTTATTGTTTTTATCTCGACTTTTACATTTCTAATTATCAAATAAAGCAATCGTTACTTGATACAAGTTTTAATTAAGGCCTACTTTTTCCACTTTTAAATGTGTCACATAACCACTGCCTTTAGGGTGTGGGAGTGACTCTAATAATTATTGGATTGAAAAACGGTCATTATTTTAGACATTTAACGGTCCTGTTATTCCAGGTCGTTAATGTTTTCATAACACCTATAGGTATATCCTGAACAGTGTTGACATTACTGTTGCAGAGATACAAGTTCGCTCAATCTGATTTGAAAAGCATGTTGACAGCTCACGCAATCCTGGTGGAGGTCTAACAGGTTTCTCCCTAATACCAAAACAAACAATGGACCTATAGTCTATCGACCGAAAAGCCCTCAGTTCACTTATTTACAAACATGTGCAGAGACAGACAGTGAGCTCTTACCATGATTAGTGTTTATCTTGCCTTCTTGCTTGTTTCGGGAACAAACCGGTCAAATGCAGCCAGCTGCAAAAGCCCTCAAACAGAAGGAAGCCTGTCAAGTGGTCCGCCGCCTCTGTGAGGTAACCTGTCCCTGCTCAGTCTGTACCTAATTAATATTTAATAACGTACGTTTTAAAATGAGAAAATATAAAGTCTCACCGTCGGAGTATCCTACGCCAGAGGTGACATTGTGAATGCAGCTCTAGAAGTGTTAATTCGTTTTTTTCTTCCACCGTCAATGACGACTGGTTCGGGTGGAATCTGCCCGGGCCAGGTAACACACCCTGAGGCTTTGAGCACCGTGACACAGTGATGGCGGTTTATTGTGCAACTTTGTCAAGGCTGCAAACGAATAGGTAAAGTGTCTGTGTTTCACAGGGTTTTTTATATAGACACAGGGCGGTATATGGCCCTGCTATTTATCACTTAATTAAAGACTCTACATATTTTTACTGGTTGTTATTATCTAATTAAACTGTATATATAATCATGGATCTGATGGATTCTCTATCACAGGTATTATAATTCTATTGTTATTTTAGGCCTCTCAGAATCACCTGCATGACCTTCATCTGGCCCAAGATCCCACTTTTAAATCCAATGGCTATTCCTACACCCCAAAACCTTATATTCACACACACACACACACACACACACACACACACACACACACACACACAAACATTCTGCACGCTGAACACACCTCTACACATTCACATGCAAATATATTCTGTCTTTGTGTTTCCCTTGTTCTGCCGTCCCCATGATTTATTAACGTGCTACAGAAGCTGAAACCTTTCTCACTGTACACCCCATGAAAAATTTACACATCACCTTGTTTTTTTCTCATAGCAAACTGCATGATGGTGGTTGACAATTCGCAGGCTTGTATCCCCATGTGATATCTGTTCAGACATAATTTGTTATGCGGGGAAAGAAAATTAGTGGGTTTTTTTTAAAATCTTTTTTTTATTCTACGTGTATGTATTTCCAAACGGTGCCAATGTTTGGAGGCAACATATGAAAATGATGCCACTTGTAAAAACGATCACTCAGAAGAATGGAAGTCTAGTTTTTCTGGTTTGAAGCTAATCAAACAAGCAGTTGTTGAAAAATTCGATGTCTCCTCACCTCTGCTGAATCAAATAATTGACCCGGATTAAGAGCTTGTTATAGCTTGCTGAGAATGCAAATGTGTGGGGGCTTAGTCACACATTCTACTTTAAATCAACTTTTATTGACTCCATTTATAGTATGCAGTGTAATACGAGGTTGTATAGTTTTTCTTTTTTTTGAGCCATTGGTTCACCCAGGGATACGTTTTAGAGCATGTGCCAAGAATTTGTTTTTAGCGTGGCGCATCTACACAGTTACAGACATGCTTAGATGGCAGCTGCTCACAGCCAGCGGTCTTCTTGTGTTACACAGAGCAGCTCCACTGTGCTTTGTTGCTGTTGAGGGAGAGAGAAATAATTACTCATTCTCTGTATCCACCCATCTTTCCTGCTTGACGAGAGACTTGAATCAGCAGGCTGCTGGTGCCAGAGTTAACAGAATAAGAATACATAGTAGGCTTTACTGTGCCACAGGAAGGCTCTAAGGTGTAGTTTTTTCAAGACTAGTTCCATGTAAACCATCTGCCTATTTTCCTTTAGACTAAATAGGATTGTAACTGTGATCTAAGTGGTTGTACTTTATAGCTATGAAGTGTGACCACTGGTTACGCCTTCTTTTGATGAGATATTGATACATCCTAAAGACCCACTGTATAAAATAGTGACATGCCAAGTTTAACGATGTATTTTTGATTGGTTTGATACAGAAAATCCACTTCAGTGCAACAAATGAAAGGTAGATGGTTGGAAAGAGAGATGACTGGTTGTTCTGTGTACTCAACCGTAGATCAAAAATGTGTCGGGTGCTCTTAGAAAATGAAGAGAAAACAGGTTAAACAGGAAGGAAATCCAGGTACTCAAAAATATTGAATAACAATTGAGTTAGGAAATAGAAAAAACACCTTTATTGTAGTAGATAAATCCTTAAAAAGTCAACATTTTGTACATGTATGGTTATCTTTAGGTCAAATCTGGGCTGGCATGCTTAAGGAGCCACAGGTGGATTTTCAAGAAAGTGGGTTTTATTTACAAAAAATTATGCAAACAATTTATAAAATACGTAACAAAGTTATGGGCTCATAAAAGGGGTGAACTAAATAGATCTGAACTCGGGCTATAAAAACATAAACTGACCACAAAGGAGAACTTATATATAATGTTGAACACAAAGAAAAAACACATACCAACTACAAATAAAACAAAACAGGACAATTTGTCAACCAGTATAAATATTGTTAGTAAAACAAACACATTAACAAACTATAGTCTAAAGGTATTCAGAAAACCTCCTGAAACATAAATCCCAATGATGAGCCCCCGATAATGTGGACAGTTGGTATTCTGTCTGGCCACTTCCTATATTTGACAGCTCTGCTTTAGGGGCACATATTTTGCTCTGGAGCTGCATCGATGTCCCTCCAGCACTAGCAAAGCAACCAGCACTGTTAGCTCAAAGAAATATACAGTAGAACAACTTGAAGGTGCTAAATTCGGAGCAGAGAAGGAAGTCACACTCCCTCTGTGCGTGTTAATCCGATCAACTATCAGTCAGCAATGTTGCTGTTGCTTTTACTGTTAGCACTGTTAGCTTCTAGCAGCCGGCTCAGCCGTTGCTATATTGAGAGCCATGTAAAGGCAATCCTTCAATCATAGATACTTTTGGAATTTAGCACCTTAAAGGCAAACTTAACTAAAAACAAAGTAAAAGTTTGACTGTAAAGAAGTAAACAAAATGTGTGAGCTAATAGAATTATGTGAAAATGAAGTGGAGGGCTATTGACATTTAAATCAGCTGTGTGTCAGCAGGTTTAGTCATCACAGGAATAGCGTTTTCTCAGGAAGCAATAAGAGCAAGTCTAATGAGTGTGTCTAAGACTTTGAAATCGTTTTATTGGAATAAATGGTCCAAATCTCTCCCCTACATTAACACTCCGCTGCAGAAAAAGCAATAGAGGAAGACACTTTGAGCCTGTTATGTATGGATTGGTGCACTGAGACATCAGCAGTAACAATTACGGTGTATTTATGTTGTACATCTGTTCTGAGAACTTTCCGTCCCACTGAGGAGAAGAATGCTCTAATTCTCAGACAAGCAGCCACCTTGGCTGTTTAGGTAACTCTCTTAAACAGGTATGCCTAAAAAAGATACTTCTTGATTTTTAATGAGATTTATTAAATTTGCCTGAATTATGCACTTCTTCTTGTGCATTTCTTCCTCAGTGCTCATCTTTTCAAGCTGTTGTTCATGTTGCCTTGTAGATATTTTCTTGTTTTCTTGCAACCAAAAAGGTATAGATTGACATTGTGTTTCGAACACACACCAGATCCCAGAGATTTTTCTTTGTCAACAAAATGCCAATGTTCTTCCTTCTCCCTCGCTCTTAGTCGCTCCCCCGTTGCTGCGCAGTCGTTATACAGCTCACCAACTGTCAACCACAATGCCTACAGAGACCACGTTGGGGCGGTTAGGAGACAAAGCAAATGGCAGACTTGCTGCATGAAATTGATCAGACTCTATTGCCCCCTCCATTGGTTATTGATGCTCAATGCACCCTTGGAGCCCTTTTAAATCTGGCATAGCTTGTTCAGCAACTGATCTCTGTCCCCTTGACAGCTGCCATGACATTTCATTGGTGACAGAATAATGAACTGCTGCTTATGTAAAAATGAGATATTTCACTGAAAATTTGAGGATAACATTTGCCTGCAAACGGTTCTCGGGAAAATAACTAATCATCAAAAAACACCGTGTCAGAGGACAGCATACTAGATTCTTGAACATTTATTTCCCCTGGCACCTCCTGAAAATGATTAATGCGCCGTTTGACTGATCTGGTGGAGTTAGTGTCGCTTTAATGTTGATAGACTCCCTGGCATTCCCAGCACATCTCTGCGTCAGCTAAATATACATGGTCTCGGGCATTTGCTGAAGCGTAACTTTGCATAATCATCAAGCTACTCCACACCAGTGTTGAGTTGAACGACCACAAAACCATTTAGGCTTTATTTGGACAATCAAAAATAATTTCGATAACGAGATCGGTCTACAAAAGTATTATATCACATTGTCACTCAAGGTCTTATGTTACCTATACACTGTAATAGGTATGTTTGATTTTTTGCTACTAATCACACAGTTAAAGTACACATCACCTTCAAATGATTTAGTTCTATGACTTCTGTGGTAGACCCCATGGCATTTGTGTCCCGTTAGAGCGATAATGTCCATTATCATTGCACAACAAAGCATGACGGCATAAATAGCAGAACGAATTGTACAAAGCAGACACCCGGTTCAGGTAGCACTCAGCCGCATCCAATTCAGAGGAGCCTAACTCAAAGTAAAATGTACCATTTGTGAGGTAATTTTATCTTCGGGAAGAAATGTCATCGCATAACTGTGAGGTGCGCTTAATATGGAATCTTTTTCGCTCTCTTCATTGTTGATCTCAAAGTGCTGAAAAGGATAAAAATTATCCAAGCTGAGACCCTTTTAAAGAAAGAAATAGCTGTGTGGCAGGTGTGTGTTTTCCTCCCTCACATCACAAATGGCCATGTGAAAGGAAGGCAAATATTACAAATATTACAATAATGTTATGTCTATGCCTGTGATGTCGTTGTAGAAACAGACCTAGTGGCTGTCACAGTGAGCATCCTGAGAGTGAGACTGGCGCTCCAGTATGACGGACGGCTCAAACAGCAGATCTTCCTCTCCAAGCGTTGAACTGTGCTCCAAGTTGACAAAGTTAGGGATGTTGAAGTGGGAAAATAAGGCACATTCTCTGTCTGTCTTACTCTCCTCTATTAGTCCCTTGAGGGGTTGGTGTTCCCCAGCTTCCTCAACATCGTCTTCCATCTCGTCCATCCCAGAGGAGCTGATCCCTCTGGTCCCCTGCTGGACTCGGGCCCCGCTGGGCTTTCCAGCTCTCTTGCGCTCTGGTTTTTGCTTCCCATTACTCTGATCCTCTTCGTTGATGTAGAAGTGAAAGTATGAGCGTGACTCAGTTAGCAAAGGACGAGAGAAGGCTTTGTCATTTTCGTCCTGGGGACTGCCGATGTCGACCAGACAGCTGCCCGGTCGATGGCGCTTTTCAGCCGAATCTGGGTTTCTGTTGAGAGACAACGATTGCAGAAGTGAAGTGACACTGAAACAAAATATCAGGGGCATTTATGGACATTTTAGTCCGAAATGAACCTGCTGCTGAACACTTCAGTATTTCATGTCTTGTTTTCCTCCTTTTCACTATTTTTCCATCTGTGTGGAAAAACTAAAATACTAAAAATCATCCCAGCACTCATCCCTTAATCTTTTATCCCAATAGTAAATGCATTACAGTCCTCTCCCTCAGTGCCTTCGCACACATCATCTCAGCCTCTGACATGAAAGCGGCCCCATCCTCTGAGATGACTAGTGTGAGAGCTGAGTTGCTGGAGCTCCTGTTGGTGCTGAAACTATCCCTGGGGGGCCGGATGTGAAAGTGAATGGAGGCATGGGCTGTGGACCTCCTAATATATATACTCACTCTTGATGTGGCGCTCCTGTCTTCGTGAGCAGCGTGAGGACAAAGAACATGAAAATGACAAACACGGCAAGTCCGACCCAGAAGCCGATGACAATGGAGTCTGAAATGTCAGAGAAGAAAGAATCTTATTTTCGTACATCATTTAATGATAATCCTTAAACCCATCTCTCTGCTCCTCCCTCAATATTTGTGTTTTTTGATTGATCTCTCTCTGAGAGCAAAATTCTCAATTACTGAGTTAAAATGAGCATTCAGTACTTTTATAACTTGATCTCAGCATGTTATCAAATTGTCTGTATGTTTTGTCTCACTAAGGGGCTTGATCCTTACCATTGCAGTATAAAAAGCCAGTGCAGGTGCATGCCTGAAATATTGCTGCTGGATAATTTGTTTATTGAGCGGCAGGTCGCGCGTGTCACTCTCCAGCTGAAGCGATGCATATAGCTGTGAAACGTGCGGCGGGTAATGCATGATTGCTAATGAACAGCTGTAAAGGTGAGTAACCCTGTTTGCTGGCACACAGACATCGCGCACAAACACACTCGCACGCGCGCTCGCACACACACAGTAAAAGAATGGAAGATTGTCTCAGTGATGATGCACTATAGGCTACAGTTGTATTCAGCTTACATCTGTGCGCTTTGAGTCCCTCAAAAGACACGGGCTCCTCGTCGTCATAATATTCATACTGCCACACGTAGTCACTGCGGCGTGCACTGGTTTGGCTCCGGTTGTGGAAGTCGGACATTTCAAACCGATTTACGTACCTTAACAACAAGAAAAACGATTAAAATCAAACCAGCAAAGACGCCAGGCCACATAGACGCATACTGCTACGACAAAGCCATAAAGTTTACGAACCACAATCTCCGAGGATTTGAAGCCCCTCAGTGTTTTTGAAAGCAAGTCTGCAACCCGTGAATTCAGTGAATTTCGGCAAACAATTCCTCAGATGTTATGTCCGTTTTCCTGAATTTAACAACGCTCCAAACAGATGGAAGATGAGAAGCAGGGGAATCCATCGCTTTACTTGTGACGCAACAACTCCATCCACCCTCCTGCAGCCTTTTGGTACACACCAGCGTCATCCAGCATCCTACATACTGTTGGCTCACTCAATCCCTGGGAGACTGAGATTACACTGAAAAACAATGTATTATTCACTGAGTGTGGTGTTGGGGGCGAAGAAGATACGGGTTTTCTTCGTGAGGAGGTGTGTTCAATGCAGTGGATTCGTTGTTTTCTTTTAACCTCATTCTAGAAGAATTTGTATTGAAACCTTTTATGATACTTCATTTGTAGGCTATATACTGTACTATCAATTGAATGTGTTGCAGAGGGAGCTTGGGTGTGTGAAATATGAATAAAGTGTAAGTGCATGTAAATATTTTACATATTTACACACAGGATGTGTAAAAAATGCCAGAAAAATGTAACTCATTGAAAAGCCTGAGGATGTTTTTGGACAAACGAGGTAAAACAGTCACACCTTTTCTCATTGCAGTTTCACTTGTTTTAAGAGTTTTCTATGGTCGACATCTTGAAACATAGGCTTTTGGGATTCAACTATCATTATTAAAAAGAATACGAGAAGAATAAGACATAAGTGCCTAAATCCAACCTGCCAATCGGAGTGAATGCCAGCTTCTGTCAACCCTCCCACCTTTACCTCTCTCAAATCCAAATGGAATAATGATTCTATACATTATGCATGATTTTATTTTATAATTCTATGACACACCACTTAATTTTAGGAGACACAATATAACTGTTCACATAACACAGTTCTTTGGAACAATTCATAGACTTCTAGGAACCAATGAGTCACGGCTAATATCAAGCAGCGTGATGCTAAATTAATTACCATAAATTATATTTGCTCTTGAAAAATAGTTATTTTGGAACACCATGTTAGCTGTTTATTCAGTCGTGTCTCGGTTGTTCCTTCTTCATTTCTTGGTAACTACGCCTGGAGTACATTAAATGTTACTGTGTTCGCTATGTAAGTAGTAAGTATGGATAGTGCATCATTTAAAAAGTTATCATATCGTTTCCTGTTTTGTCTAATCACGAAACAACACAAGAAGTACACCAATGGATGGAACACATTTTAAAAACTCCTTCATAGCCATTTCCCAAAATATGCCAGTGCCATCACACAAATGACATCAACACCACACTTACAAACAATGTAATCATATTATAACATTATCCCAGCTCAGTTGAGTTTCATAATGTCATCAGTTTGTCGGTATACATTTCTACATTTGGGGACATTAATGAGCACTGTAACAAAATCAACTGGTGAATCTTTCATAAATTATTCGAATAACATGCTATTGAACTGCTGGCGAAACCCGTTTAGATCAAGCAGTTTGGGTTAAGTGTTAATTTCTGTGAAAACCCCAAAGTGCAGTTTTATAATTTACCGTACCAAGTCGCTCGAGGAAGTGCATCTCTAAATATCCTGACCTTTTGCCATTTTAGTGAAGCAAGGGGTTGTCCAAATGGTGTAAACAAGCAACCATGAACATGATTTTAAACATACTTCCACTGAGGAGAACTTGAAAATGGGTCTGCTTGTGGCATGAAATGCTTATAAAAACTCTAAAACACCACATAGTTAAATGCCCTCTTTTCATCCTTGGATAAATCTTCATTCAAGCGACGGCTTCATTAGTAGTCCTGCATTATTTATAATAACTGTAACCTTAAAGTAGACCTAGAGCCACTTCAGGCTTCCATTCATTTATCGACGCATCCCCCAAATGAATCACATCCACCAGAATGATTATGAATGCATAACATACATACATCTCACTGTAGACCTAGAGTTATCAATGCATTTTGTCTTTTGTAAATAGGCTGGTGCTGCATTCGTATCCCTTGTCAAAACCACACAAACACATGTCTGGACACTTCAGCTGCGAGGTGCCTTGTTTTTTGCAGAACTGGTACTATTTTGATGGGGATCAAGATAGGTTTGGCACCATTCACATAGTTTAAACATAGTCTTGTTGCAGATCAATGCAATTAAAGCCACTACGCGCAAGGTTTGAAAATTCCTATGTTTGGCGCCATCTGGTGGTCGTATCAAGTACAACAGTGTGGCAGAGCTATTGCCAGACAATTCTGCTAAACCTGGGATTACGTTCATTTACCTTTTTTTTTTAAGGTAAACAATTTCAGAATGTTTTCTAAAATATCTGAACATGGCAACTAGAGTGTAGTTAAGGTTAGGGAAGATGAAGACTATAGTTAAGATATGATGATGGTCAACTAAAACACTTGGTTACAAGAAAGATTGCGGTCATGCTTACACAAAGCAAACATAAAGTGCTTGATTGTGAAACAACACAAATTAAAGTTTAACAAACAACATGCTCATGCAATACCTCCGACAGATCCGACCTGGCAACACACTAAATGAACTGACAACAACCTACACTGCACTGATCTAGTGACTGGGATAGTTTCTTGAAGTAGAAACATATGCAGCGGAGTAATGTAAAAGGCGGTCATGCGGTATGAAGCGTGCACACTACTAAAACCTTAAAGGCAAGAGGCTACATGGCTCGGAGCACTGAGACATGTAGTGATTGTGTCATCGGGTTATATTCTCTGAGAATATTTGTTGATTATTAATCCCTTCCAAATGATTTGTTTGAAATGAATTGCTCACTGCTGAAACAGACAGTGTGCCTCCTTAAAATCAAGGAGTGTTTTTTGTTGAAGCCTTTTTGTCTCTAGATGACATCATGCCTCTTTCTAGTCTCTGGTGCTGCTCAGCTAAAGGAGAGACTTGCTCAAACTAAACTGCACAGTACTACAGAAATAACAAAGGCTTTTGTAGTGAGCTCAATTTCACAGAATTTATTTCCCCTAGAGGCGCAGACCTTCACAAAAGAAAAAGAAAAATCCATGTTATCAAATGATGGATCACAAAAGTCACATTGTAATGATATAAAAGCACCAAATATTATTATTATAGGAATATCATTAAAACAGGAAGGTGTGGAAAGGCTACATCAAAGCTTTCTGTACGGTATTATGTTTCATATCATCTGCAGATCAATTCAATAACGTACGGTATATTTCAATGAAATAGCTGGCAGCTAAATGGTCAAAGTTCTTGTCAGGAGTCAAAGCTCTGTGTGTCACCAACACAATTGATGTGTGCCCGAATGTAATGTTGAATACACTTATTGTAAGTCGCTTTGGATAAAAGCTTCTGCTAAATGACTGTAATGTAATGTAATTAGAATACTGAATGTAAAGAAGACCCCTCCACATGGTATATTTTGTTTCTTTATGCCCCTAGCCTTCTGTATTTAATAAGCTCCAGCTCCTCATCTACATAATATATTACTGACAGCTGTAGTAGTTCTGATTAAGATTCAACATCTACTGGTTAAAGCCAGAAAGTTCCTCACCACAAATAGAGATAAGGTTGCATTTTTGTATGGCTGTATACTTTGTTTCTGCATTTTATCAACACTCTGCATTCATCAGTTCACTATGTGTGTGCTATGGGCCAGTGTAGTTTGTGTTGCTTCTTAATTACTTTCACCTCTTTCATTTGCTTAATAACATTCTGGTGACAAATCGGCTCCAGCTTTAGAGCTGCTACCGCCCAACCAGTCGGCGACTATACCTCTGAATCTGTACATTTGTGGGTAGAAACATTCAAGAATCTATCAGAAATATTCAAAGGACCTGCATCAACAGTGTGGTTACATGCAGTGCATAATTCTGATGTTGCTGAGATAAATTCACTATTCCCTCACCAGCGATGACGTCTCATCCTTGACTGCTCAACATCAGATAAATGAGCTCTCTTTATTTGTCTCCTGTTCCATCCCGTCTTTTTTTCCTTTCCGTCTTATTTTCCCATATAGATATTGAACTTTCACTTTCTAATTAACTGCATTCTAATTCCCTAATGTGTCAGATGTTTCAGTCTCAACCTTTTGCAGAACATCTCTTCCAATTTCTTCAAGCTTGAATTCACTAAGCCTGGGATACTGAGGCTTCCCATTGCACGTCCACTTTCAACATACAGCACTCAAGCACATACTAACCTCACACCATTTCCCTTCTCTCACTCTACAACAACTCCCTTTAAGACTCTCCCTTTCTACTTTGACATTTCAATTGACTCCCACATAAGGAGACATAAGACATAAGACATAAGGCATTTTTCAGTGCATCAGCTCTGATGGATGAGCCTTCCAAATCTGTTTTTGGCAACATGAACCCAAAACCGCGCTACACATCGAGCAGTCGCTGAACTTAATCTCAGCTGTCATCTTGACCCTTGCTTGGGGATTCAAGACTTTGGTCTCTGCGGTAGACGGTCAGTGACTGAAATGAAGACGATGGAGTAAGGAAGAAACAAAAAAAGAGAAAGTAAAACATTATTGCATCCACAATTGACCATTATATTGCAAGTGTTGTAATATTGTAGCTCCATCTCTCTTCAACTTGAAGCCATACAAGCTTAGCTGTAATAAATACAGCCTCTTATTTTCAGTTATTGATTTATTGTATTGTGCTTTGTGGTTTGCAATCGAATTTACAGTATTCTTTTCGGTTTTTCTCATATTTCATCTGCTTCTGCTTACTTTCATCCCATCATATGGTTTCCAAGGGAACAATCAGGATTTCAACTAAACCAGAATCTGGGTCAGTCTGACCTTCTGCGTAGCCTATTCTCAGAACACAACTCAAAGTTAGACTCACGTGAAATGCCCTCTTCAGAATGCAAATACTAAGTGGAAGATATACAGTATCACACAATCAGTATTGTATATTTACAATGAAGGTATCTACATCTCAATAATGCTGAGGTGCAAATGAAATGAGCTCTTGTTTGTAATCTGCACATGATTCTCCTCTGCTGAGAGTCCATGAGATGAGATCATGATGTTTGGCAAATTTACTCACACAAAATGGATTTTGAGCTGAGAAGTAGGTTTTTTCTTCATTTAAACATGAACAGCTCTCCATTGATTAGACGGTCCATTTTAAAATGGGCTGTTTGCACTTACAACCTTTTCCCCTTTAAAAAAACCCGGAGTAAAGGAACAATGCTCTGTAATTGCGAGCTGGGAGCAGGA